AAAAAAAAAAAAAAAAAAAACAGAAGAATCTGCCTCAGTCTTGTTTTACCTTAATGTTGATAGTATAGGATTGAGTTTAAACTATCAGAACCACTATTTCAGTTCCTTTAGGAAGGTTATTAGAAAACCACTGTTATTTAAGTAAGGTAAGTAAATTTCAACTCCACCATGAAAAGTTTTTGCATCCCCTTCACAGATATTTAGGTAAAACGAAGTTTTTGTGACATTTTTCATCATGTCTCCCAGGCCCACAAAGACAACAGATGGTCTCTGAGTTCTAGAGATCTCTTTGTGTTCTATATTAAAATGTTTTCCAATAGATTGACATAGTGTAGGAGTCTGGCTCTTCATTAAAAAATTGTTTCTTAGCTTTTCTGCAACTTCTTCTGAAAAGTATAAGATTATGAGTTATCGTGGTTTGCAGCTTGGTGCACAAAACCCCTCTCCACACCACATTGGAATCACTTTGTATTTTCGGGGCAGTCTGCAGAACAGGGCAATGGACTAACAGACTCTTGATTGGCCTTGATCATCCCCTGATGTACTGCAAGGCAATTAGCAAGTAAATTTTTGCTAAGTGCACTCAAGAGTAGTTAGAAAAATTTTAAATTGTCATCGAAATGCTAACCACAGATTCAACTAAAACTCAACCAAAGAATGGCATAGTCTTGAACATGAAGACCTAAATCACACAACTGTAGAAGCACAATTTTGCATCCACAGTGCTCCATTTTTCCTTCCAAACCACTTCCCCCCAAAAAAGCAGCTTTGGAAACTGTCTTTACATCAGTTAGATGCAGAACTCAAGAAATGTGAAACAACCCAGGGAAACGAGAATTCAGTAGCAGTGCTAAGACAATGTTAAGTGCACTCCTTTCATCTATTCATGAAAGCCTCATGAAGAGGCCAAACTCTTGGATTCTATCATGGAGAGAACATAGTTGAAATAATTTACATGTTCCCAGTTTAGTATAGTAAATTATCCCAGCATAAAAATCACAAATACAGCAGAAGTTATCTTAAACATGATCTATCTATTAGAATCATATAATCAACAATAACAAAAAATAAAGGTAAATTTACAGTGGAGTAAAATGACTACGCTAGCTCAGACAGGTGCTCAAGGTCAACATCAACGGTGATAAGTCATATTGACAGTATTGGTAGATAACCATCACATGATGGGACAAGGCTGGCATTTTACCTTGGATTTTCCTCCGCCAAAACCCATAATCCTTTTCTAAACATGAAGAAAATATCCAAAAAATTCAAACTGAGAAACAATCTACAAAATACTTGAACCGGGGCTCTTCAAAACTGTCAAGGCCATCAAAAACAGGCAAAGTCTGCAATGCTGTCACAGTCTAGAGGATCCCTAAAAAGACAGAAAACTCCATGTGACATGGTATCTTATATGGGGTCCTGGAACAGGAAAAGGACTTTAGGTAGAAACTAATGAAATCCTAGTAAATTGTGGGCTTTGGTTATATTATTATATTGGTTATACTGCTTATTAGTTATATTGGTTCATTAGTTATGACAAATGCAGCATACTTACATAAGAGGCTATGTAAGAAGAAACGGTGTGGGATATAATGGGAACTCTCTGTACTCTTTCTCTGCAATTTTTCTGTAAATCTAAAACTATTCTGAATTAAAAGGTTTATTACAAATTTTAAAAGGCACAAGTGTTCATGCTTATAATCTAAGCACTTTGGGAGGCTGAAGCTGGAGGATTGCTTTAGCCTAGGAGTTTGAGACCAGTCTGGGCAATATAGCAAGACCCTATCTCTATTTAAAAAAAATAATAATAAAAAAAAATTACCAAGGCATGGTAATGTGAACCTGCAGTCCCAGCTACTCAGGAAGCTGAGGTGGGAGGATTGCTTGATCCCAGGAAGTCATTCATGATTGTATTATTAAATTAACTAAAACTATTTTTTATTTCTTCTCTTTTACAGATCAATGTGATGATGCCCATGGAAAGCTGGCCATCATGGCTGGGATGCCCTCACAGACTGTCCATGCAGGGAAGTTCTAGTCTCAACAGCACATGGCCCTAATTTTATTTATACTCATAGTACTGTTATTTTCATTATGCAAGTTAAGAGTTTTTGAAATCACAAGTATAAATGCAAAAGAGTTATTTCTATGAAAAATAGATTGGATGATTTGGCAAAACCTGGCAGAGACAAATGGCTAAGAGTATTTATTTAAGTATATGTGTTCTCATGCCATAAAAGATTGGGAAAAAAATGTCATGAAAATCAAGAAGAATGCTGCACTCAGCTTGCTTATGTTCTTCAAGTTCTGTTCCACTTAAAAACACCAAAATTAGAAATCATAGATCGTGGGAGTGACTTCTGCAGGAACTCAGATCAGTTCAAACCTAATCAAAGAACACATGGTGGAGCTATCTCAAAGTACTGATGAATGAGCATTTATATGTTTAATGTAAAATGAAATGTTTAAGGTATGTGTGTATCATTTTTAATAATTGTCCTGTTTTACTCTCTATTTTTGTTAATTTGTGTTTGCAATTAACCCATTGCTCCTGATCCTAATTGACTAACAAAGCCATTCTATTAAAGATGATTTTTCATTTTACCTTTTACGTGTTAATATTTTACAGTTTGTCTTTTGCTATGTTTCCTTTATTTGGTAACCTCCGGTTTTTATTTTGCACTGTTTTATAATAAATGCATTGTGCACTTCTGTCACCTTTTTTCCCTGGCGGACTCTAGACACAAGGGTGATTGCCTAATTATACTGTGCTGCTTATAAGAAGCAAATTAGTTAAGTGGCTTTTTAGATGAACAGTGCAAAGTGCCATGTGAAACCTGGAGGAAAAATATCCCCAAGAACAAAAGAACTTAAAAATGTTGTTTTATTTGTTTAAATCCAGTGGCTGAGAAAACAACATCACTTCTTCAAAATTAAGTGACTCTATTTTCTAAGAATTCTAAGTAGGAGTAAAGATGAGAAGTGAATAAATGTGATGTGCTTCTCTCTTGGCTTCTAGGTAATAAATTCTGCACTAGAGAGATTATACTAGATGTGAATCTGTTTCTTATTTTATGCTGAAAGCAAGATCACTAAGACATACTTTACCTTCCTCAACAGAATCTATCTTTCTCAATGATGGCTGTAAAGCAGTTTTTTCCACATCGTTAGAAAACTCATTCTATTCAAAGTTGAATAGTTCCAAGCTGTTAGGATTTCGAAGCAAAGGAAGAGCAAGATGCTCCCAGGATACAACGAATGAAATTCAATGGCTACTTACAAATTCAGCTGTTCGCTGAAAACAAAAAGCTTCTTAAAAATTAGGGTGGTTTAGCCTGAAGTAAGGTTTGAAGAAGTAATTTTTTAAAGACGGTATTTATGAAAATTATGCTTGAGAAACCAATCCAGGGAAGTCAAAATGGATGCAACCAAACCTTAAGAATAGAAAGCAGTGCAAACAATCCAAAAGCAGTGCTTCTTAGGATAAAGCAATGTGCACATTTAAAGGTCAAGAGAATTTCAGCCTGTGGTTTGGATGGACCTTTTCTGTTTCCACTGTGAGTATACCATTGTCAGAAATCCCGGCCAGCAAGCAGGCAAGAGATCAAGAGGAAAATCAAACAGGAATAGAACCACTGGGGCTGCGTGAATTTCTACCTGCACCTTTCCCAATTTAGGCAAGAGGACTTGGCTGGACAGCAGGAGGTGGAGAGGGAAAGGGGTGGTGGCAGAAGGAAGGAGGAGGCCCCAGAGGCGAGGTCTCAGGATGGCAAAAGCTCTGTGTCTTTTCCCTTCTTTGCTTCCTACAAGCATTAACCTTGAGACTAAAAGCACAATATGAGGAAAGAAGCAAAGATGAGTTGGACATCACAAAACAAATTCTCTAAGCCCTAGGAAGGTTAGACTTTTGAGAACACATCAACTTGGGTAACATAAAATATGAGTAAAAACAAATATGAGAGAAAAACATATATGTAAACTAAACACAAAAATTGAATTGAACCTTTAAAAGTTCGCTGATCTTATCACTAAACAAACTTCTGGGATATGTGTATTTCATCATTCATGTGTTTGAAATTAAATTTTATTTAACTGATATTTTTAAGCTACCTGTCTTACCACCAAAATCATAGTTTTAAAATACACTTCTAGTTTCTGCTACATTCTCATACAATTTAAAATTGGCTGTGTGAAGAAAATACAAACCTCATATTCAAAGCTTAGAATCAACCATATACCTAAAATATACCAGAAATGATTGTTTTATAAATGAGCAACCATAAGCATTCTTCTCTTTAGAACCTGGCTTATAACTCTTCTCTCCCACCAACCTTCTTGTTGCTTTCTCAAATCTTCCCTTCTCTCCAGCTGAAAACTACAGCATCATTATACAGATCTGCCTTGTCATGTTAAGTGTAATCTATGCCTTGAGAGTCTCACCAAATCCCTGCTGGACATTTCTAAACAAATGTCTCTATGTACCCCTCAGCAAATTATTCTTGTCTGAAAAGTATCTTTCCCCAGAGTTACAGTCCTCTTGTGTTCCGTAAAGAAATTAACATCAACCTTATCCTCTCAGTTGCTCAAGAGCAAAACTTCTGTATCATCTTCTATAACCCTTTCTCCCTAACCCCTCACCTCTAATCAGTTACCAAAGTGTGCCCAGTCTATCTCCTTGAGGACTGTAATTTACAACCCCATCAGATTTTAAACTAAATAATAGTAAGAATATTACACTTGTTTGTCCATTTGTTTGACATACTGTACCCAGTTCCCAGTACCATAGCTGGCACAAGAAGATATACAGTGCATATTTGTTAACTAAGGTTATATATTACTATACCTAAAGGCAATTATTTTAGTTGTTAGCCTTTTATATTTCACATAATCACACATGAGAGGGTTTTTAGGGATCCTTTGCCCACCACAGAACATTGATCTAAATTGGTTTATATTCCACATTTTCCTGACTCTACTAAGTCCTTGCCAATATGCACACAGACACACTCACACCTCTTTAACCTTGACAAAATTTTCAATTGATAATCGCTATATAGAAATTATTTTTAAAAGAAAAAGGTTATTAAGCTGTTGTCTTTTTTTCATCTTCTAGGCTTTCCTCAAAATAAAGTGGAAAATTGGCAAGCGATGAGTCAATTTGATAAAATGTAAACAGTCAAATGAAATAGATCAGGCCAAATGCTTTATTGAAATATTTAGTTTCGGCCATCTACTTAATTGAAAAAATTGGCCATATTGTTAAAAGTTTAATTTACCTCAGCCTTGGTGATATATCTATAATCAAAAGCAGCATTTTGGAACAAAATAGTTCCTTATACATATGTATATGGAGCTGACTTTTTAAAAAGAGTTTCCAACAAAATTTCACATAATGTAGCTGATGTATGATGACTAGGAAAAATGGGAAAACACAATTCAATTGACAGTTATGGATTTTCTACTTTGGAGACAATAAAACCTGCTAAGAGTATGTTGGAAACCTTGAATAATAAAACATGGGCTCCTCAGCAACTGGGGTAGGTAGAGAAAAATATAAATTAATAAAGGAGGTAGATTATAATCCATGACAAAGCAGAAAAAGAGAAGGCTTTGATATCTGAGCTTCTGTCCTCTCCCTCTTGCTCTCTCATCTTGCTTTACCCATTTCCTTTTGAACTGGGACTTGCCAGTCAGGGCCCACTCCACCTCTGCCTGCATGCAGGTAAGCACACCTGGGTGAAACATGCAGCTCCACGGGCACACTTTTTGTCAATCTGTGTCTACCAACCTCAAGTGGGCCTTTAGTGCTGGAAGGCAATCTTACAATATTCCCTGGAGATGATTCTATACCTCCTTTCTTCTCAGATCTTCCAGTAATTCACACACACACACACACACACACACCCTTTGCTCTCAGATAATGGTTTTACTTCTGCCTTCACTGAGAAAAAACAGGAAGTATCATTGTAAGAACACTACACGTTCCCACCACCATATCTTACAGCCACCTGCATCTGCACCCAGACAGTCTGTCTTCCTTTCTGCTACTTTTGTCAAAATGTCTAGACTTTTAGATAGGGCCTCCTCCTCCACCTCTACCCCAGATCCTTCCTCACACTGCCTGTTCAAGAGCATTACCACAGCAGTTTTTCTCCTTGAGTATTCTTTGCTTTCTTGCCAGCTCAAGGTGAATGCAAACAGTTTTTAAAACACTATATCTAGAATATGTAATTGTTTTCTGCAGAGTGTTGAACGGAGCACCTAGTTCACTGTGATGGAGACACATTAGTGGTTAATCCTCAGTTATATCTCAGTTGATACCTCAGCAGCATCTGATATAACTAATTTCCCCTCTTTCTTAAAACACTCTTCCATGTGGCTTCAGAAATCACTCTTGCTTTTCCTCCTAACAGAGGTTCTTCAAGTTTCCTCCTCAAATTCCTGTGCTGTAAACATCATCATGCCCAATGGCACAGCTCCAAACCACGTCTCGTCACTATCTACACTGATTTCCAGGTGGAGCCATGGATTCAATTACTAACAACTCCCAAATTCACATCCCCAACCGCCACCCTGTGCCCCAAATTCCAGGCTCAGAAATCCAACTGTCTGCTCACCACCTCCACTTGGACATCTCTAAAAAGCTTCTTAAACTTTGCATGTCTGCACGCAGATATTTGCTCCCGATGGTCAGATATTTTCCCATAAACTCCCAAACTCAGTAAGTGGTAACTGTCTCTGCCCAGTTGCTCGAGCCAAGATAACTGGAATGATCTTTGAATCCTGTCAAGCCTACTTTCAGCATATGCCCAGAATCTGACCTCTTTCTACTCCCTCCACCAAAAACACCCTCGTCCACCCAACCATTATCTTGTGCCTGGACAATCTCTAATATTTCATTCTAAATCTGGCTGCTGCCATCTATTACTACATGGTAGCCAGAGTGCTCCTTATAAAACATAAGTCAGATCATGCCACACCTTCACACAAAACCCTTCAGGGTCTTTCTGTCCCATAGGAGTTAAAGGCGAACCCCTCACTCTGACCTACAAAGCCCTTAATGAGCTGGGCACTGCTTCTGTGACATCGTCCTCCTACCACTTTCTCCCCGACTCACTCTGCTCCATCCAGAGTGGACTCCCTGATGTTACTAAAGCCAAGCATGCTCCCACCTCGGCACCTCTGCGCTGGCTGCTCCCTTTGCCTGGTGTATGCTCTTTCCACCACTTCTTTCGGTCCTCTGGGCGAATGTCAGCGAGGATTTCATTAACCATCCTACACAACACAGCATCTGCTCCCTGGCGGCACTTGCTTTCCTCCTTTTCTGTTTTATTTTCTTTATAGAATTTATCACCATCTTAAACACTTTGTATTTTTGTGCTTACTTTATGGTTGTAAACACACCATTAGGATAGGGATTTACCATTTTTTCAGTTCCTTCTCACAGATTTCAAAACTGTAAATAAAAGGTACATAAAAGGAAATCAATAAAGAATTGTCAAATAAATGATTGAATTGAAATTTTAAAAAGATATTTATATGAATGATAAGATCTAACATTTATTGAGTTTTCACCATCTCTTAGGTACATTCAGTATTTGGCAAGTACTGTCTACTAAACTTTCACTATAATCTTTGAGGTAGGTTCTTTTAAACCCTAATTTTATGAATAAGAAAGTTAGGGCTAACAGAAATCAGACGGCTCACCAAATGTCCCACAGCTGTAGCTAGTAATGTGGTAGACCTGAGACAGACACTCGAGCCTGCTTCACTTCACATCTCGTTTTTATAAATTGATTCTATGTATATTATAGTTGTGTCGCTGCCATAAACCTAGATAATAGCCTTAGTGTACATTAAACACTAAATAAGCATCTGCAATTAGTGTCTTTAAAATTCAAACTGCACACAGTAGGTAAAACACTGAATGACAACTTAGATTCAAAAAGCTGTGTAGATTGCTAAGCAACAAATTTACCAACAGGGATTTGAGACATTCAGTATATCTTCATTATTCATTGCAAAATGGATGCTGTGACTTTAGAGTTAGCATATCTTCAATCAAAAGTTGTTTGGTGTTTATTGATGCAAATGTTCAAGTTATTAAAATCAGTTTTCCAAGTCACTACTGAACCCAAATCATCATCATATACACAAACAAGAAAAGCCTATTACATTATTCTCTCTAAAGATAAATAGCAAGTTATATACCTGCTTTCTTCTCTGAAATCCAGTCTCTAGAGCCCTGTCTTCCTACCGCACCCCATGAACTTCTTGCTTAAAGGAAGCAGCTACGTTAAGAGGCTACTTGGTTCAATACCTACTCTATTTTAGAATTGTCTTCCTGTCCCAGATTCCTGTTGCTACTCTAATCATGAATTCAGCCCTACTATATCCAATACTGTTAACCCTACCTTCTACCAGCTCCTGATGCTTCCTAACATGGGTTCTCTATTCAAGCCTAAATAAATTGAAGTTTTACTTTCAAATTTTGCAGAATCACCATTACTCAGCCAAATAGGCCTAAGAAGTAAGGTAAAGGAATCAGTGGTCATAACCAGCCTCCAAGAGGGACTCCAGCGATTCTCACTCCTGGACATTCACAATCTTTTATGGGCCCCTCTCATATCAAATAGGATGACTTGTGTAGCTGTGGTTTGGCCATAGAAGACACTGGGGTATCTGCCTTCGACTAAGATTATCCTCTCACGACCTAGAAGAAGCCAGTGATTAGGTCGTGAGGACACAAAAGGAGCCCTATGAAGTCTACTTAGCAAAGAACTGGGGCCTCCTAACAACAGCCAGCACCAACCTGCCATCCAAATGCTGGCGCTATCTTAGAAGAGGGTGGTCCAGCTTCAGTCAACCTGCAGGTGACTGTGCCTTCCGCTGGTACTCTAACCACAACCTCACAAAAGGCTCTGAGCCTGAACCATCCAGCTAAGACACTCCTGAATTCCTGACCCACAGAAATTGTATGAAATGATAAATATTTATTCCTGTTTGAAACTACTGAGTTTTGGGGAAATTTATTATGCAGCAAAAAAATAACTAAAATAGTGTGCATATAAAATCCATTTGTAAGGAAAGGAAACCTAAAAAGCCATGAGTCTGTGACAAAGAAAATTGTGTAGAAATTCAACTCAGCCTTGAAAATGTATTGGGTATATAAAACAGATAAAACAATGATTTTGTCTTTCTGCAAAGCTTAGAGTTTTGATTGTGAGTCTTTATGAAAAGCTTTTAGCTAACTTTTTCTTCTGTCAGTAGAGCCCTAAATATCAATATTTCAATAAAGTTGTATAATAGCACAAATGCCTGTTTAAAAAAAAAAAAAAAACAGAGCTCCGATGGCTTTAAACTTTAAATCCTGAACTTTAGAAAAAAATAAGCAGCATAATTTTCTGTGGTTAATATAATATCCCTGATTTAAAATACAGTAATAACCAATCAAATGTGGATTGCTTAGGACAGAAACAGATGTACAATACAGAAGCTTAAAGAAAATGTCAGGGCATGACTATGAAAGAAAATACCAAGACCAGGACTAAAACACAAATATTTGCCTTAAGGATGAAAGCTTGGTGTTAATATCAGAATAGCATTGTAATTATTTCAGTATTTTACTTTCTTATATAAGTTTGCTAAACCAACTAGAAATTTGAACATAAATCATTCCACATATGAGTTCAGTCATTCTAAACTAATTTTTCTTCTTCCTGATTTACGACATCTTCCTTGGAGTGATATTACAGAGAGTGAACTCAGCCAAGTGAACCCAAATTGTCAACTGCAATCAATTTTCAGATATTCCAGTAAACAGATGAAATAGGGTATACCCAATTATAGATGCAACTAATGTTGCCAATGTTTACTCTGGTCTTAATATATCACACATTACAAAAAAGAAATGCTGTAAATCTAAAATTGAAGACAGCACACACAAGGATAGTATTTGGCTTCTCTTTTGAAGCTCTGGGGAAGCATTTAGGAGATAAAAGTTAAATAATTTCAATGGCCTGCCCTGCCCTCAAATGAAGCATTTAGCATTCATCCCCTAATGGGGAATGTACGACTCATTTTGTCAGAGATGTACTGCTTTCATGCTTCCCTAGAAATTAGGCTGTAAACCCCTAGGGTACCAGAACTGTGTCTATTTATGGCTCTGCCTCTGGCCCCAAGTTTTGCATCCTGGTTTTGGCCAACAGATCACTATTGAGTGACAGATCAGACAAATACTCATCTTTTAATCAGCACACTGGAATACGACCAACATCCATTGCATGCTTATCTTCCACCAGCCACTGTATTAGGTGCTAAGGATACAAAGAGGTTTAAAAACAAATCCTAGCTATGGAGGAGCTCATGGTCGGTGGGAGCCATAAGCACACACATACATCCTGCAAGGCAGGGAAAACATATTATGATGGAGACAAGGCCGATGATGGAGGGAAAGACAAAGAGAAGAAACATGCCTTCTGGAAAAAGTCGGATATTAAACAGGCTGAACAGGGCACTACAGAAAAGGATGTCATGAAAATCATGACCTTGGAATTTGATCTTTTAGCAGAAGCTCATCAATGGACAGTCAGCTTTTGACAAGGTAAAAGGGGTTTTTACACCACCAAGCTGGAGCTTCTGCAAAATAAGACCATGTGCTGAAAACATTGCTTAAAAAGTAATAATGAAGTAAGTATGTCTCAAGGGCCCAGAAGGCCAAAAGAATGAAGAAAGAAATTAGCATACCCACTCTCAAGGTGTTCAGGCCTTTTAACCTTTTGAACAATGAAATTTGGAGTACATGGCATACTTAATTTGAATTATCCACAATCTATCAGAAAAAAGCCAGAGTCATATATTTTTACATTCTAACTTGTATGTACAATACAGACCACCCCCTGCAGATATGTCCACATCCTAATTTCAGAGTCTGTGCCCATTTTATCATACATGGCAAAGAAGTCACTGCAGATGTGATTAAGGGTAAGGACTTTGAGATGGGGAGAGTATCCTGAATGACCTAGGGTATTCTCTGGGTCCAATCTAATTGTATAAAGCGGGCCAACCAAATCATAAGAGGCCTTAAAAGTGGAAATTTCCCAGTTGTGGTCAAAGAGATGGCTGCACGACATGAATCTGATGCCCCATTATTGGTTCTGAGATGTAGCAGACCACAGGCAAGGATGGTAGAGAGGCTTCTAGAACATCAGAGAGACCTCCAGCTGACAGCCAACATGGAAATAGAGAACTCGATCTCAACCACATGGATCCTAACTTTTCCAACACCCAAGTGATCAAGAAATGAACTCTTTCTGAGAACCTCCAGAAAGGAATGCAGGCCACTGATGCCTTCACTTTAGCCAGGTGAGAACCATAGGAGACTTCTGACCCGCAGAGTGGATTGACTGTAAATTTGTGCTCCTTTATGCCACCAAATCTGTGGGAATTTGTTATAGCAGCATTAAGAAACTAATACACAGATTCTGTTTGACACTTAAAAATGGAGTCACGAGGCCGGGCGCGGTGGCTCACGCCTGTAATCCCAGCACTTTGGGAGGCCGAGGCGGGTGGATCACGAGGTCAAGAGATCGGGACCATCCTGGTCAACATGGTGAAACCCCGTCTCTACTAAAAATACAAAAAATTAGCTGGGCATGGTGGCACGTGCCTGTAGTCCCAGCTACTCAGGAGGCTGAGGCAGGAGAATTGCCTGAACCCAGGAGGCGGAGGTTGCGGTGAGCTGAGATCGCGCCATTGCACTCCAGCCTGGGTAACAAGAGCGAAACTCCGTCTCAAAAAAAAAAAAAAAAACAAAAAATGGAGTCACGAGAAGTGGCTTATACCTTGGGTTTATAAAACTATATTCTGTGCAATATCCAGAAATGTTGGTACCACTTACTTTTATGAACTAGTTCTTCTGAAACAGAAGAAATAAAAGTAAGACTAATAAGAGGTACCATTTACTGAGAAGACACCATGTACTATTTATCAGACTAAACGTTTCACATAGCAATAATAATCCTTAATATTTTTAGCATATGTATATGTATGTTAGGATGTGACAGGCACTATACTAATCATTTTCAGATATTAATTCATTTAATCTCTGCAACACTCTTATAAAGCAAATTCTTTTATCATTCCCATTTTACAGATAAGGGAATTGAGACACAAAGGATATCCATAAAGTGCCACAGTCACTCAAACCCCATTGTAGCTCTCCAACAGGAGCAAGCATTTATTAGAAATATACTATGTCCTAGGTAATAACCCAAGTACTTCCCTTTAACTAGCACACCAATACCTCAATACCACCCCATTTTGCAGATAAGAAACCCCGGGCCTAGAAAAGTTTAATAACTCTTGAAGTATTTTGCAATGAATAAATAGAGCTGCTAAAGCCAGAACTGACCTCAGAATGGGCCCTCACAGCCATCCAGGGTGTCCTCGAGACACCAGAAGGCTGGGCTGGCATCAACAATGTGTTGCTACCTGAAGATGTCCTTTCCCTAAGAGCCTTCAGAGGACTATTTCAGCTAAAAGCTTTCCACACAGTCGAATCAAGCCAGATATCTCCCTAAGGATATTCAAGATCGTCTCCATTGGCAGAGGGTGGACTGCACATTTGCCAAGTGGACAACTGAGGATATTTGTGTTTATACAAAAAGCTTCAATCATCTTCCCACTTTTTAAATTCAATCCGGATTACAAAACTGACTCAACATGTATTGGAGGTCCACTGCGAGGATATCAAGATAATGAACATTCAACAAACATCCAAACAGGTATAATTTCTCCAGGTGTACTGATTTATACTTTACAACTTGGAAGAGAAGTTAAAAGGGCCTCAGTAACACATTTGGGTAACACCATGGCCCTAAAGAAATTTACAGGATGTACAAGGTGGGGGAAGTCTGATCAACTTCTTATAAAGTTCTAGTAAAATTCAATGCAAATATGTCAGAAAAAAAAAGAATTGGACTAAAAGGTAGCAGATCTAGTTTTTAGCCCCAGCTCTACCTCACTGACCTGAGCAAGTCATTTTACACGTCTGCCTTCATTTCCTCATTTATAAGATAAAAGGATCAGTCTACAATATATCAAATCTCTTCTGAGTTCTGTGATTCTGCTCTTTGAAATCTGCCAGTCTGTCCTCACACAAGAGAGTGGTTATAGTCTGGCAATGTGCTAAACAATAAGACTGGGGTGGAATCTAGTACCTGGGGTGTTACTGGGAGCAGAAGAGGACAAATATCCAGACTCCAGAGCCACTTGTATATGAACTCAGAGGGTTCCTATTGAAAAAAAAAAAAAAAACAGACCCTAGGAAAAGAGCACTCCAAAGTATCAGCAGAAATGTAGTGAGTTTTCCAAGACCTGAATAAAAATGGGACACCAGAAATAGTAACCTTGCTAAGTAAGTAATGGCAGATGTACTTGACACTCGGTTAATGGGATTAAATGAAAAGCAAACATGCACCCACACAAATGCACACATGCATATAACACACACACATTCCCTCACACAGCAACGTGTGAGTGCTTCCCAGTCCTTGAAGTAGAGCACTGAGCCAATCAACACGGGTGCGATTACACAAGCTTGCTGCACTGCACCAAACTCACTGAGCACACGGCATGCCTGGAAACGCTACCACGTTTTCCTACAAGCATAAAGGAGGCTCTGGAATGTCTCCAAAGCCCCATGCTTTCATCAGCTAGGTAAAGGCATTCACTTAACTGGCTGAAAGGACGGGGCTATCAGCCTGCACTAGCCTGCATGCAGTTTCATAGTTTCTGGTACTGCAGAGTACCAGAGAGCAAATGGGATTCTGCCTAGATCTGTTAAAAAAGAATCGAAGAGATAAGAAAGTTGCATTTTATTGCCCACAAATGATTTCTCTTGCACAAAAGAATCATAGCAGTTTGGGCACAAAGAACAGAATCAAGAAAAAGTAAATTCAATAATCAGATGCAAAACTCAGGTGAGCACTGAAATGTTTAATAAACAATATGCTAAAATTAGTGCTGTATATTATAAAATTGCAAAGGATGAAGCGGCTACATATTTATCCATCAAAGGGACTATATGAATGAAAATTCTCAGAATTTAAAATCTTCTTAGAGCACATACCCTGGCTCTTTTCCCTTCCTTCTTCATATGTGATGGCAGGAGCCTCTCTGAATCTTCATCCTGCATTTGCTTTAGCCCTTGACTCTCAGTTACTCTTGGACAAGTTACATTTGAATCTAGCAAACTCATCTGGATAGAAACCTCTGATAGGGTCTCCATGACTTCTAATTTTTTTTTACCCCTACATAGATATCTCTTAAAAATATTATAATGCATTCACTTCCACAAACATCTCTGTGTGACTCTAAGCTGTCACTTCTCCAGTTTAGAGCTCCTTTTCTTACCCTATAAAAGGAGGTTTCCTTCCTTCTATAATAGCTCTGTCATTCTGGCATCAGTTTATCTTTAAATGGCTTGGTTTTGAATTAGGAAAACTTTGAAAAGCCTTTAATTCTAACAAGCCCAGAAGATGAGAAGAAGGAAAAACAAGAGCATAGTTTTACCCTTGCCTTATTTGGTCTTGGTTAAAATGAAACACATGTGTGTGTGCACGCGCGCACACACACACACACACACACACACACACACACACACACACCCTTCCCCCTTCCCACACTTAGAGTCTTTTTTGTTACTGTTTGTTTGTTTGTTTGTCTGGATCACCAATGATTTAAAGTGAGAAATCCTAAGAGGCAGAATTCCCAAATTTTAAAAATAGAAGTGACCTTGAGGAGCACAAGGAATGAATGGAACTAATACATATGAAAGGAGAAGAGAACTTACTTTTTGAAATTAGAATGAAGCCTTTTTGCTTCAAGTATGAGCTGAGCTTCCATATGCATCTTTGTTGTATCTGTCTTCAGAGTCTGTGCCCACAAGGGACTGAAAAGTGCCTTTCTGGGGCCAGGAGATAGAGGAAAGCAAGGAATAAAACCTTCTTTCCTTTCTCTCTCTCTCTCTCTCCCCCCCAACCCCTCTCTCTCCCCCCCATCCCCTTTCTCTCTCTCTCTCTCTCTATCTCTGTATGTGTGTGTGTGTTTAACTGCTAGAAAACTCCCCCTTCCTTTGTCTATAAGGTAACCAGCACCAAGGTCTAGGTGAAAGAAGACCTGGCCTTCACCAGGTCTGATGTCCCTGGTCTCAGGAGTTAACTAATCATTTGGGGCCAGATTCCAGACCAGATTGTTCCCCCTTGGAGGCGGGAAGTCACTGCCAGGGTCTCATTTTCAGGAGCTAAGAACTGCATCCAGGGCATGACCTAATTCTAGCCTGCGTCCTTCTACTAAACCAGCATTGCCTCTGTTAATGTGACCAGCTGTGCCCCATATGGCCCACTTCCATTAAAATTTACACACACATACATACATACACAATTTAAAAAGCATTTGGTCAGCCATTAACTAGGGTAGACTGCTCCATTGCACCTTCATTCAGTGTTCTTCCATTCATTACGTTCAGCATGGTCCAAGGGAAGAGGTTATTTCTTAAGGGTGTGAAGAAAGATGCATTTGGACATGCATTCCTTAGGGAGAACGAAGATGTTCTTTTCTAAGAAGGTCATGAACAGATCACATTGCATTAGGAGTTTCTCTTGCCCTGGTTTCTGGGCCTTGGGGAGTTGAGCTTTATGATATACTAGGTGCCGTTATCTGATTAGTGCTGAAGAAAACATCTTTTCTGTGTGAGCTCTTTAAAATAAAACTAAACTTTGTCAATGATTCTCCCCAAGAAAGAATGGTATCTTTAATTCGAGCTACAATGCCCCTGCTGGCAAGAGTCCATCCTTTCCCACAGCTGAATCGGGCCGATTTAAAGTCACCTCATGCATTTGGGACAGGTTGGAGGTGTGGAAAAACACTCCCATTACAATTCAGAAGTGCTGTCATACTACCAGAACCAAAAATAAAGCCATAGAAAGGAGAGAGGAGTGGAAAATAAGCTGAAGAGATTAAGGGTCAGGAGAAGGAAAGGGCTTAAAAAGACAGTGTGTAACACAGGATATTTAAAATGAACAAAGAACTGAGCTATTTTACGGCACAACTACAAACACTTCTCGAATATCTGTGATCATAGATGAGAGCAGAACAAGTTATCTCCATGCCTTTATAGTTCTTGGAAATGCAGAAGGCGTATCACAACATTTGCCATAAGAATCAATAGACAACTTACCGATATGCTAAAAAGTCTCTTTCAAATACTGAGGTAAGCCAAAGGGAAATAGTATCTGCATGTTACGAGGGTCTCATATTTTCCAACATTTTAACTTAGCTCATACATTTTAATGCTTCCTATTTATGGGTTAATAAAATTTGAATTTAGGAACCAAGTGACCTGAGTTTCAGTTTAGCTGTACTGCTAAGAACTGTCTGACGTTTGGTATGCTACCTACTCTGAATTTCGGTTCCCTATCTGCTAAAGGATTCCACTCTCTTTAAGG